ATGGCCTGGAGGTCCACACAGGGACCTTGCAGATTAGGGAGGGATTCAAGATTTCCTGAAAATACTAATTTCCCAAGAGGCCGGCATGTGCTCCAAGAGACAGTCCTCCACTCTAGTGTGGCAGTGAAGGGACAGGCAGATCCAGGGGAAGCCTATCAGATCTCTAGGAGGGAAGTGTATGTGTGCAATCCGAGCAACATTTGGAAGTTGCTGTTGCCTGGGTTAATTTCTAATTAGTAAGTGTTTGAGTTGCTTTGACATTTTAACTGCTAGTGGGAAGGGGGCATGAGGTTTGACTATTATTAATCAATACAAGAAACCAGCCCCAAATGGGTTGGTAATATATAAGTAGGTTGTGGTCTTTCAGATATAAGAGTTACACTGGGTGTGATAATGCATGCCTGTAATCCCTGCATTTAGGAAGCTGAGGCAGGAGGAGTATAGAGAGTTCAAGGCCAGCCTGAGCTACCTAGTGAGTTCCAGGTCAGCCTAGACTAAATAGCAAGACCCTGTTCTAGAAAAAAAAAATGAAAATAATAAAATCAAAACAAGCAACAGCAACAAAAAGCAAGGTGTAGATGTAGAAAGGCAATAACAAATGAAATGCTGAGTGTGGGAGGGAGGAGGGTACCTTGGAGGAAGGAGGGTGAGTTCCTAGCACAGGTGGCATCTGATTCTCCCTACTCATGGCCATCTGAAGAGCATTGAAAGGCCTCCTAAGTACCTTCATCCATTCCCTGACAGGCCTCCAAGGCCACCGCCAACATCTCCAGCCTTAAGTTAAGCACTAGCCTCCATAGACTCTTCCCCAAGCAAGTGGCATTTCCGTTGGGATTTCAGAACTATAATTGTATCTGGGTTCAGACAGTGTGGTGGTTTGAAAGAAAATGGTCCCCAAAGGGAATGGTACTATTAGGTGTGGCTTTGTTGGAGTAGGTGTGATTGTGCTGGAGGAAGCGTGTCACCGTGGAGATAGCTTTGAGGTCTACTATGCTCAAGCTAAGCACTGCGGCACACAGTTAACTTCCTGTTGTCTGCAGATCAAGATGTAGGACTCTCAGCTCCTTCTCCAGAACCATGTCTGGAGAACCATGCCCGTACATCATGATACCACCCACCATGACAATAATGAACTAAATCTCTGAACTATAAGCTAGCCCCAATTGAATGTTTTCCTTTATAAGAATTGCTGTGGTTAGCTGGGCGTTGGTGGCGCACGCCTTTAATCCCAGCACTCGGGAGGCAGAGGCAGGCGGATCTCTGTGAGTTCGAGACCAGCCTGGTCTACAAGAGCTAGTTCCAGGGCATCCTCCAAAGCCACAGAGAAACCCTATCTCAAAAAAAAACAAAAAACAACAACAACAACAACAAAAGAATTGCTGTGGTTGAAAAAAAAAGTGTTGCTGTGGTCATGGTGTCTCTTCACAGCAATAGAAACCCTAAGACAGACAATTCTAGAACTTTCTAGGATGAAATATTATTGATCTGGAAAAAAATAGTTTTTCTTTTCAAGTTTGTTGCTATTCCAAATGTTTATATAATCACCTCCATTATAGACAATCCAGACAACGCCTAGATGTGACCTTCAAGGAATGGTAGCTCACTAGGGCCAATAAAACCAGCTAGAAAAATGTCTGAGCCTTATGTTCTTGCTGAGGTATAATAGGAAACCACATATCAAGTGATTCCCATACTTTATATAATCAGGGTACTTCATAGGCACCCTAGGGTGCCCATGTAGCCAGAAAGCCTTTACTTCTCCCACCATGCCTTTGGGTGATATACAAATGTGTTGGGGTTCTTTCAAAATATAAAAGCTGGCCCTGGGCAGGAAGATTATGAGTTTGAAGCTTCTCTTGGGCTAGTGAGTTCCATACCAGGCAGAGCTATACAGCAAGACCCTCTTCCAAAAAACCAAACCCACAAACAAATGACAGCAACAAAGACAGTATCTGAAGACATGGCTTGAGAGCAAGTCCACTCCTCACCCCAGAGCCTGTGAGCCACTGCCAGGCAGAGAGGTGCAGGACAGCCCTAGCAGTCAGGAGGCTGCCTCCCAGGCTCAGTGAGGAACTGCAGGGCACAGGGCATTTGGGGGTGGAGCTCAGGTATGCTGCTGGCTGAGTGGTCTTAGCTGAGTTCCCGAAACTCAGGGTTTTTTTGTTTTGTTTTGTTTTTTGTTTTTGTTTGGGTTTGTTTGTTTGTTTCAGATAGTTTCTCTGTGTAACAGCTCTTGGCTGTCCTGCAACTCACAGAGATCCACCTGCCTCTGCCTCCCCAGTGCTGGGATTAAAGGCGTGTGCTACTACTGCCCGGCTGAAACTCAGATTTTCTAAATGGGAATGCAAACTTATTGAGAACAAGTCTGCAAACAAATGTACCTGTTCTTATCTCGCCCCAGGGCAGCACTTCATGCATTATGAGCCTTGACTTTCCTCTCTGCAGCATGGGATGCATAACAGCAGCCCCGAGTGGGGCAGATTTTTGTGATTCTGATGAGGTAATGGATGTGGAACATTTACAATCACCACAGAGAAATGACAAATGTTTGAGAAGGACCAACATATTTGCTATGAACATGGCAGAGGTACATGGGTATAGAATCATGACATGGGACTGCAAAGATACAGGTGTCAATTTAAGCTGCAGGGGTGAGATAGCTCAGTGGGTAAAGGCACTTGCCATCAAGCCTAAGAACTGAGTTCGATTCCCGGGACCCATGTGGTAGGAGTGTACCAATTCCTACCACTCATGCCATAGCTCACTCACCTTGCCCTACCTGCACCTAAAATAAATAAATAAATGTAATACAAAATAAAAAATAAGAGATAGCTCAGCAGTTAAGCTTCCAGAGGACCAAAGTTCATTTTCCAGCACCTATATTTGGCAGCTCACAACTGCCTGTAAATTCAGCTCCAAGGGCTCTGACACCCTCTTTTGGCCTCTACAGGCACCAGAACACACATGACACGCACATACTCACACAGGAATACACACATATACACACTCATGGATGCATGTAAATAAAAAATAATAAAAATAAATAAAACCACAAACTGTCTTGTTCAGCATGTGTTTAATAAATGTGTGCTACTTTATATAAATATGAATTTCCACACTCATTTCTCATATGAGTTCATATGAGAAAGAAACATTTCTTAAGCTGCCCCTGCAAAGAATTACATTTTTAATATAATAATACTGACTGCTTCTCAGTCTTCTGGATAAGATCAAGTGATAATAGCAAATGTCACATGGAAGTGGAGCCATTGGAAGTCTCATACATGGCTGACAGGAATGTCACATGGAGAACCACTTTGAAAAGCAATGTGATAGCTTCCCAAGAAGTTAAACATACATTTTCTGCACTAGCCATATTGTCCCCAAGGCCAACCTGGTCTACAAAGCAAGTTACAGCACAGCCAGGGCTACATAGTGAGACCCTCTCTCAGAAACAAAACAGAGAGAGAAAGAAGAAAGCATACATCCACACAAAAGATGTTCATAGCAACTTTATTCATGATAGCCAAGCACTGGGAAAGGTCCCAATGTCCATTTACAAGTCCATAGACGAACAAATTCGTGAACACTTTTTCCATGGAGTGCTTCTCAGCACTAAGAGACAAGTGACGGACACAGCAACACAGTGAATGGCAAAGCATGCTGTTGAGGGAAGAGGTGGCTGTGGAACTCCACTAACACACTACAGTCTAGAAACAGCAAAACAGATGAGAAGCTGATGGCAGCTGGAGACAGAGAGGATTGGCTCCAACAAAGCACAAGTCAGCTGTTAGGATGATGGAAATGCTTACACTCTGTGCGCCTGTACAAACATGCATGTGTACATACGCATGTGCAACTGTGTGTGCTCGTGTGTGCACTGTGCATGTGGAGGCCAGAAGTCAGTTAACACTGGGTACCTTCCTCAATTGACTTCCACCTTATTTTTTTTGAGGCAGGTATTTTACTGAACCTGGAGCTCATCCATGTGACCATACTGGTTGAACACCACAGTGATCCTCCTGTCTCCACCTCCCCAGCTTATACAGGAAGCCTACTGCACCTGGCTTTTTTCTTTTCTTAATGCATGTGCGCAGTTGCATACGTGCTTGTACATGTCTGTATGTGGAGGCCAGAGGACAACCTCAAGTGTCATCCTTGAGGTAGATGGAGGCTTGCCATCTACCTCCTTTAAAACAGGATCTTCCATTGGCCTGGAGCTCACTGATTGGGTTACACTGGCCCTCCAGGGAGGCCCAGGGATCCTGGCTCTACATCCCCAGCACTGAGATTAGAAGTGTGTGCCTAGCACCCCATGTGGGTGCTGTTGACTGTTCTTAGATCCTCGTGCTTGTGAGGCAAGCAATTTACCAACTGAGCCATCTCTCACATGATCTTGGCCATGAATATGTGGCTGCATATGTTTGTTAAAATTCATAGAACTGTACAATTATAACAGCAAATAATGCCTTAATAAACCAGATATTAAAAGCCATGAACTATGGTTACCTAGGAGAGAGGGGAACTGAGCAAGGAGGATAATGAAAGGTGCAAACCTTTTGCTCTGCTAACCACATCTAGACTATGTGATATGCCCCCTCCCTGCCATGCTGGGGATCTAATCCAGGATCTTGCACATGTAGGCAAGCACTAAATCTCTGAACCCCACTTTGGGCCCTGTTTGAACTTTTGTGCTGAGTATATAATGTACATAATTGGTAACGATATCACTGGTGTTTTCAATAATAAAAATATTGTTTCTCTCAAAAGAGTACAGAGAACACCAATGGGATCATGGGAGAAGTCTCACGGCACTTATAGGAGCACCCTCTTGACTGACCAAACTAGACAAATGCAGAAATGTATAACCTTCCTCTCACTCAAACCTTCCTTACCCTCTTCACCTCTTCATCCCTTCTGATGACCCGACCCACACATTCCAAAGTGACAAGATATTAAAGGTCAGGGGCCCTCCATTGAGAGCCGTGGATGTGACTCACCTCAGTGACAAAGAGTGTTCGAGGGTCGATGATGTCCAAGAAGTGTCTGAATCGACCGTAGAAGGATGTCTGGGGGAGGAGGGAGAGGAGGTCAGAGGCTGTACCCAAGTTCAGGACACTGATACCCTCACCCACAGTCCCCAGGATTTCCCATGTGAGTGATGGAGTCCACTGAGAGCTCAGTCCTCATCCCAGGGCTGGGAGCTCCCTAAAATCAACTCAGAGAGACCATTGAGATATCATGATGCCAGGTGTGACGGCACACTCCTTTAGTTCCAGCACTCAGGAGGCAGAGGCAGACAGACCTCTGTGAGTTTGAGGCCAGCCTGGTCTACAGAGTTAATTTCAGGACAGCCAGAGCTATGAAGAGAGACCCAGTCTAAAAAAAAAAAAAAAAGATCCATTATGACTGGGGCTGAAGAGATGACTCAGCCATTAAAAGCATCTGCTGCTCCTCAGAGGACTTGAGTTTTGTTGCAGCACCCACATCAGGTAGCTTACAACTGCTGTAACTTGAGCGCCAGGGAATCAAATGTCCTCTTCTGGCCTCTGTGGGTACCTGTATTCACATGTGCTCAAACACACACACAGACACATATACATCTTTAAAAAAATACATACATACATACATACATACATACATACATACATACATACATATATATATCATGACAAAAAATACATACATATATATATCATGACTTCTCCAACCTTTCCTCCAGGTGTCCCCCTTGTTGTTCCCTCCCTCCGACTGTCCTGAGATCTAGTGTAGGCACTTCTGAAGTACCCAAACACCCCTGGGTACATGGGCACCTTCCCTGCTCAGGAACTCCAGAGAGAGAGCTTGACTGTCCCTCACAGGGCCCCTCTCCAAGGTTCTACTCTGCCTCCAGAGAACAGCTCCCCACAGGCAGAGCCCAAGTATGCCAGACCCAACTCACAGCCCAGACCCTTCTCCAACTCACTGCCCTGTTGCCACAGTGAAGTGCAGAAAAAGGGGCCAGCCTTGCCTAGGAGCAGGGGCCCTGGAAAAGGCAGGCTTTGTGCTAAGCAGGCTGCAGGCATTCAAGCACAATAAAAGGGAACCAAGCAACAGGGCTGCTGGTCCTTCTGCCTGAGGACAAAGCCAATGGGGCAAGACTGAGTTCAAACTGAAAAGAGGCGTTGGCTCAAGGATGAAGGGGCAAGATGCAAGGGGGGGGTCATGCCTCACTGCACTCTGGGCTTGGCCCCAAAGTCCTCCCCGAGTCCCACAGCTCTCCAAATACCCACTCTCTGCACAGTGAAGGAAAGAGAGGCCTGACTGCCACTAATTCCCTCAGTGCTTACCAGGGCAGCACACCCTGTAGTAACTCCAGTCCTTGCCCTTCCCAGTTAAGACCCTGCAAGGTCCCTGAGGGATCTCAAGGATCTCATTCCAAGCCTATTTGCTACTTCCATTTCTTGCCCATCTGCCATGCCTGCACAGGAAAGCTCCTTCCTGACTACTTCCATCCCCACCCCTATACAGAACAGAGACCAGATTAAGCCTCAGCACCTGCCGGGTGTTCGTGGTGCACGCCTTTAATCCCAGCACTCAGGAGGCAGAGGCAGGCGGATCTCTGTGAGTTCGAGGCCAGCCTAGTCTTCAGAGTGAGTGCCAGGATAGGCTCCAAAGTTAAACAGAGAAACCTGTCTCGAAAAAAAAAAAAAAAAAAAGCCTCAGCACCTTTCCTAAGGCAGAGATGTTCTTTCCCAACCTCCCACAGCCCACGTAGCTGAACTACTCTCCACTTCAGACGTACATACACAATGTGCTTTCATATTGTCCTGGCAAAAGCTCATCCCTAAGAACACAAGGAGAGTCCTCACTGCACAGTTCATGAATGGACTGACGGTTTATAAGTGTGAACCATGTCAACTTGTATGTCCAAGTAACAATTATGGTATAAAAAAATGATTACAGTTTCATCAAATGCATGCCAGCAGTGAGAGCCCAGCGTAACAAAGAAGGAGACAGAAAAAGGATGGATTTCTTTATGTGATGCCAAGGACTGAATCCAGAGCATCATACATGCTAGGCAAGTACTCTACCAACTAAGCTACAGCTCCAAGACACGTGGATATGAAAAGATGAACAAAAGGCCCAGATGACAGCCAGTCCCTAAAAGAACCAGGGTTACCCCTAAGCAGTGGCTGATTCCAGAGCTGGGACAGGAAAGGGATAAGATGAAACTAATACATTTTGTGGTTCTAGAAGGTGGTGAAGTGGCTGGAAAGATACCTCAGTGTTTAAGAGCACTTGTTGTTCTTGCAGAAGACATGGATTCAGTTCCCAGGACACACATGGTGGCTTACAACTATCCATAACTCCAGTTCCAAGGGAACCAACAGGGCAGACATACACGCATGAGAAACACCCATATACATAAAAAATAATAAAAATACTGTATCCGTGTTAAATTCCCTGAGCATAGTGACCATATGAGAGTTATAGAGTCCTTGTACTGGAGCACACGGGGTGAATGAATGTAACCTAGTCTCAAATAGATGAGATAAAGGGAAAATACCTAAATGTACAAGGCAGCCACAAAACAGACAAGCAGGTGCTATTGTTTGATTTTCTTCTAGATTAAAGATGTCCTTAGTAGTAGCATGTAGCTCTGCTGGGTTTCCAGACTTTCAAGTCACCTCTAGACAATGGTGACTGCAAGTATCCCTTGCTCTCCTGAGACAAGAACTGAAAGGTGACTTGAATACTCTACAGATGAGCTGGGTGTGGTGGTGTACATCTTTAATCCAGCACTGAGTTTCTCTTTCAGTTTGAAGTTAGCCAGGTCTCCATAAGAAGTTTTAGGCCAGCCAGGGCTACATGGTGAGACCCTGCCTCAAAAAAAAAATCTATTTTTCATAAATGCAAGCCAGTATGCTAAGTAATATATTTTTCTTTTTAAAAAAAATTATTTATTTCATTTTATGTGTATGAGTGCTTCGCCTGAGTGTTGGGTATATACCATGTGCATACCTGGTGCCCAAGGCTGGAAGAGGGCATCAGGTCCTTGGAACTGAGTTACAGACAGTTGTGAGCTACCATGTGGTGCTGAAAACTGAACCCCAGTCCTTGACAAGAGCAGTAAGTGCTCCTAACCACCTAGCTATCTCTCCTGCCCAAGTAAGAAGTTCATTTGATGGTAAGCTCTAGGAGACTGGGGATGGCGCTTGAATGTTCCCTCCTCGTCCTCTATGGCTCCTGGTTTCTACTCCCAGACAGACCTGGCATGCAACGAATGTAGACTGATTAGCAGCCAACGGTCTTGAGGCTTCCTGAAGGGACAATGGCAGGGTGCAGCTTCAAAATGAAGGGTAGCAGGTCAAGGGAGACGCAAATGAGCCTGGGATACAGGTAAGAATCTACAAGGAAATGTGCCAAGTGGCATGACTTCTGGAAGACACCCCAGATGACACTTCCACCTTCGGAGTCACCCTGGGGTCTGGATCCTGTCCCAAACTTCCAAAGGTCCCTGTCCCTCTCTATTATAGCCACTATGTGTGTGTGCCGGGGGTGGGGGGCACGAGACCCAGATAAAGCATTTTGCTCTACAGACCACTGCAAATGGCTGCTGAGCCAGGCCTGGGCAAAAGTACACTGCACATGCCTTGCAGTTGCTCAGAGCCATCAAGAACTGACTGCAAAGAAATAAACCAACAAAGAGTGAAAACTACCATGGTCGGTGCTCAAAGAAAATGCCACAAAGCACACCGAAGACACCCAGAACTCTTCCTGTTTCTTCCTGGGGTGAAGCAGGGGGCATTCCAAAGAGCTAGGGCCCAGAGGTAACACTGAGCCCAGGGTAAAGGCTGTGATCAGAAATTGATGCCCAGATTCTCATCCACTTTGAACTATCTGCTGAGAACCTACTGTGTGTTCCACACTGTGCCAATAGTTAGAGGGAAGCCAAGCTCACTGACCACAAGAGATTGAGGAAGAAAACTCATGCCATGATAGTGTTCTAACTACAGTCTAAGGCTATTGACCAGGGTAACGAAAGCAAGAAGCATGCTATCGTCACGGAGGAGATAAAGGTTCTGTATTTATCAATTACATTTGAAATATGTAAAGGCCTTTCCAGATCTTTCCAATGTGCTTAGAAATATAGGCAGGAGACTCACAAAAGGAACCCTGAGTTGGGACGCTAAGCACACAGTCTGAGATCCTCCAGACAACTGCCCTCAAGTCTGGCTCTTACTGACTTGCTGCAACAAGGAGGCCATACAGCAGGGGAACTGTAGGGCATCTGCCAGAAAAAGACAAGAAACTCAGCACAGAAGGCCTGCTAAAGGTGTGCTAAGATAGAAATGACGCCACTCATCAACCACTCCCAGTAAAGCCAGGTTGCCAGGACAAGAGTTGACCTAAGTCCAGACTCAGACAGGACACAGGGTCTTGTTTCCATGGAGACTAAATAGTTAAGATCAGTGTTCAGTATTGGAACCAGAAACTCCTTGACACTAAATGCTTGGGTTGATTATGAAGCAAAGTGGCTTGGAACTGCCAATTCAAAGTATACCTGGGCACTAGAGATGTAGCTAAGCAGTAGAGCACTTGCCTAGCAGATCTAAGGCTCGGGATTCAATCCCCAGTGCTATAAAAAAAAAAAAAATCAGATTAGGTTTAAGCTGAGGACCTGACTTCAGTGGTAGAATGCTTATCTACCATGGGATGAACAACACAAAAGGAGAATGTGCATGCTTCATTCTTTTTTAAGTAAATATACATATATGTATGTGTTCATTTATGTGTGTGTCTGCTTGCATGAATTTATGAGTGCTACATGTGTGCAAATACTCAAGAAGGCCACAGGGCGTCAGATGCCCTGGTTGTGAGGGGCCGTGTGAGTGTTGGGAACTAAAGCTGGGTCCTCCACAAGAGCAGTAAGCACTCTTAACTGCTGAGCCACCTTTTCAGCTCTGCATGCTTCCTTCTTGCTGACAGCACTAAAACAGCAAACTTCTGGCCAGGGCCATCATGATCTCAGAGAATGGAGTTTCTTAGGGACTGGGAAATGGATCTGAAGGTAGGTAAGTGTGGT